AATATAATTTTACCCAACATTGGTTTGAAATTACCCAATTTGGGTAAAAATGTTCCAACAATTGGGAAAAATTCGCCCAAGAGTTTAACCTGTTGATATGTTGACCAACGTTGGTCTACATACATGTTTCAACCCATTTTGCCCAACGTGTTTACAGTGTAGCATTCTACTTTCAAGATTCCCAATTATTATTATTGTAATTTCGTGGGAAGTTTTAGAGCTCAAAACGGCTCATACTAGACAAAAAAAGTACTGTTGAGGCGGAATCTGATATTGAAAGGAACAACTATCTTTTTGCATTGTGGATGAATGCGAAATTACTTGCAAAAGAACCCATCGAAATTATCGGCATTTGGCTGTTAATCCTTAAATACTTTGAGCATGTTTCCCCTAAATACCCTCAAATTAAATTAGTTCACTGTATCTTAGCTATATATGAAATCGCAACATACACATTGGAATGATCCTCATAACTTTGCAGTTAAAATCTTCAATTCACAACATAACTGCCTAATTATTAGTATCTGTCTCACATTGTTCTCTGTCCGTAATTCCTGCCTTTCTACAATGCTTTGCAGATGGTGAAATGCAATCGCATACTTTGGTAATTAAGCGGCACTTATGTTACGCGGTTCGAACACTTTTGTAACATCGTGATGTAGTCTACTTGGCATGTTGCGGCCACCGTAATATTTGTGCCTTGTCTAGACAACTTCTCTATAGGCCTGATATACGGGTCAAATTTCTCATGTCAAACGTGAAAAAGGTACATGTTGGTTCAATGAAAAAGGACTTAATTTCAAAACCACACATTAAATAAAAGTATACGTAATAAACAATTGTGAAACCTGGAATAGGAATTATGCAGAAAGTTATTTACATGTAAGCCGAAATGAGTTCTCCAAGGTACTGAACCGTTAATTAATACACGTACTTAGGGTATATCCTCTACTCGTTTTCGACGAGTGTAGTTTTTTTGGACAACTTCCGGGAATGAGTGCTACTGAGGAAGCAATTAAAGGTTATTTGCAGATTTCGTAAACGTTCAGTTGCTATATAAACGGGCCTGAGTTTGAAAATGATATCAGCTCTTGGAGCGCTGAACACTTGTTAATTTCAATCCTGCTGTAAATTCCAGTGGAATCATACTCGAGCGGCGACAACTATATGGTAGATTACAAGACTACACAGTGTGTGCCCTCCCGTTGTTCAACATGTTGATAGAGAGGTGTCAGATGATCTAGAGGAGACAGTGAACGATGATAAACGACACCAGGGAACATTCCTCGGGCGGCCATCAAAACTCAACTTTCTAAATTAACCGGCTTGGTATTACATGCATCACTGGTCGCCATATGGGTTTCACTGCCAGCGATTAATTCGCCAGGCAAAGCTATTTGTTTTCGTCGGAGCCTTTTCCAATGGTTGTAGTCGTGTTAAATGACTATAAAATTATTCATGATGGCCAACAGCTCATAATAAATTATTTATAGGCATGCAAACACAAATTTAGTCGTTGAAAGCAACTATTCTAATCGGTTTAAGCTCTGAAACATCTGGTTATGTTTCTATAATTATGCATCCACAGAAAAGTGTTCTACTTAATATGTAATTATCATCGCGAATGATTAAATGTTGGAATACAATTTGTCCATATATGCCTATACAGGGTGAGTAAAAACAAAACGAAACCCAATGGCAGGACCAATTTTTGAATGAAGTCTTGCCTGTATATAGCATTTACAAAATCTAGGATATGAAAGCCAAGCATGATTCTTTTAGTACAAGAATCATTCACACAACTCATTCAATTTTCAAGTTACGAAATTTTGAAGACAAACACCGTTAAAAATTTACGTCCACGGATCACAAACACATTAAGTAATTGTTCTTTCAGCAAAACGAAACAGTTCTCATAGGGATGCATTTGAAGTGTTTTCGTTTTGCTGAAAAACACTTACCTTTTTTTGTGATCCGTGGACAGAACTTTAAAACGGTGTTTGTTTTCAAAATTCCTTAACTTAAAAAGCACATAAGTGATTTGAATGAATCTTGTACTAAAAAAAGCTCATTGATTGGGCTTTCATATCCTTGATTTTGAAAGTGATACAGGCATTCTTCATTCAACCATTTGTCCTGCCATTTGGGTTTCGTTTGTTTTTACTCACCCTGTAGTTCCTCAGTACGCATATCCACGCACCTTCATTATTTAAAAGGAAGACAAGAACACAGAAGCGGAAACACCGAAACAGACGAAAGAATAATATATGCTGTATGGAATGTTGTGAATTGAATTAGAAGACAAGAATTTCTCTTTGTCGCCCTGTCTCGATGTCTCGCTCAAAGAGATTATGTTCACTTTGTTTGTACCAGGAACCTTTGCTAGAAATGCATCAATCTGGACCACCGAATTCATGAAAATGTACGGACATGTTTACGTCCGGTATATAACCACGGAATAACTTGCTCGTCAAATTGAAAGTGGCATTTGTTTTTCAATCCCAGTTCTCGACAAACCTGCGACATTACACTCTCAATGGGACCTTTCCAGAATTAATCAAATCAATGAAGTATAGACCAATCGGTGAAGTAGCCAGGATTTTTAGTGCATGTTATGAGGGGGCATCAAGGGTGAACCCCGGACAACATTTTTCCAAAATTTACAGGCCACCGCAAGTGCAGCAAATTCGAAAAGCGGGTGCGGAATACATCTTTTGACGCTTAAGGCCGCTCTTTTTTTTCTAATTTATTCACACTTCATAAAGCTGTGCGGTTCAGGGAAGTCAAAAATAGTCATCTAGATTCCTCTGATCTGCTATTTAATAGCTAAAACAAAGCCTTTAAAAAGACACTTCCTTGGAAAGCGAAACTTTACTTATTGTTTATTTTTGTGGGGGAGGGGGAACGGGGGGGGGGGCTATGGGAATTTGTAGGGGTATGTCTGTGCCCCCTCCCCCTTTGCTCCGCCACTGGTACCAATACCGTTTATTTAACAGTCGTTTTTTTATGGGGGACATACAGCTGCAAACATTGCAATTTAATACATGCGGAAATCATGATGCTATAAAAGTATAGTGGCGGTGTGGAAATTATTGCTCACGCTCTTGATATATATTCGAGTGAAATCCATGGGGTGGAGTGTATATAGATTCTCGGTGATTTTTATGGACCATCAAAAATACTGTATTAATAAAACGGCGTGCAGAATAACCATCACCTATATGGCGATACCATGTTAAAAAAAAGCACAGAAGTGATGCCTTTATGACTGTCACTACAGTGCACGCATAATATATCACTGAAACCACTCAGTAAGATTTAAAGGTGGTATCTCCGATTTTCTCACAAAATTGTATTCAATATTACGTTTTAATCCGACCGATATGGAGCCATGTTTTTGGAGGGACAAGCTGGCACAAAGATTAAAAAAAAAGGAACTGAAACGAGACAAATTGGTGCGTTTGATTGATTTTTGTTTTTAAAAAAGGGCCCCAAGATTTCAAGCAGGCGATGTGTATCGTGACATTTAAGGATTTTCATTCTAATGATTCAATTACAAAAGCATTTTGTCCATTTTTATTAATGATAATTGTTTCAAAAATGGCTACTCTTTTTCGTTTTATTTGTTGCATTTTAATAACGATGAGGTCCTTATTCCACAATGGCGTGGCTGGGTGCAGAATATGTTTTTACAACTTGCTACCACTATGTAAGCTTACGTAAAAAAAAATACGCTCCAACGAGCTTCATAATTTTGCTCGCCATAAGCTGACGCGAGTCATATTGAATTTGTGCTGACGAACACTGACACCTATTTGAAAAACCAAAAGCGTCAAAGATTAATGAGTATAGCTCCAATCGTTTTTCAAAAAGGAACATCTGCCTCACAATCCGAGAAGTTTGTAGACTTTACTTGCTCCCCGATTTGAAATTCCTACGAGTAAATGGACAGAAGTATGAGATAAGGGCTCTATAAGCCAAGTTTGGAATCCTGTTCTTCCATAGTCATGCGGCAATATGGCAATTTATGAATGATGTTACCAACGAAATTGGGGAGAAAAAAAAAGTTTGAGAGAAAAATCCTTAATCTTTAGACTGCACCATTCCGATGCTCTAACGCTTTGCAAACTTTATTTGGAAAGTATGGGTAATTTCGAGATTACAAAAATGGCGTTGCTCCTATATTTTGTAAATTGTATCCGTTATGTTAATCTCGAACATAAGTCGTCCCATAATTTATTGGACCTGGGAAGTGAGAACCAAGCTGCATTGCTATTGAGCCAGTAAATGAGACAAGAAAAAGCCATTATAATCATTAATAACAGTAATGAGGATTAAGTGCAATCACACTTTAATGGGAAACATATCGGTAAAATTCTCCCTGCGATCATATTGGCAGATTGTTTAAAACACAACAGATGTGTCGATTTTGATAGCATCTTTATTTTCCTGGAAAAAAAATCGAGCCAGAAATTTAATAATGACAATAATATTACACTTCAAAATCCACATGAAAGAATGACAAATGCTTTAAGCAAGCCATGAACGTGATATTTAGAACATGGAATAATAATTATACTATAAATATCATTGAAGATGGACTCGCCGTGCTATTTGCGAGTTTCACCCCTAATAATAGAGTCCTTTTTGAAATTGCTATTTTTTTTCCAACACAGAAGATATTCATTGCTGAACGAGATATCGAACGGAAAAAGTTGCGGCCCAACATTAAGCCAGTTCTCGCAGTATAGACTGGTTCCTGTCCCTATCAGAATCGATGGGAGGAACCGGGAACCAATCTATTCGCAGGGGGATCTGTTTGTGTTCAAAAGCACCCCCCCCCCCCAAAAAAAAAAAAACCACCCCAAAAGTTGTCATAAAGTTGCCCACAATGGAAAAAACATAACGTTCAGATTAAACAAACAATTTGAAAAACTAACTTTTTAAATAGAATCATTAAAAAAAAATCCAATTTTAAATTATAGAAAGGCAAATCTTACCATTTCCACTCAGCGTGCTTGTTCACTTTCAGCGTGACGAAAGTCTCGAGGAGGGACACCGCCACCAGACATTCCGCCAGGAAGAACCACTGGAAGCCCGTGATGTTCACCAGAGCCACCACGGCTAAGGTCCCATGCGCCCCGAAGAGCAACCTCACAAAGATGGCTTTGGACTTGGAAAGAAGGGTCATCCTAGATGCTGGTATTCTACTGCAGTGCTCGGCACATGCAAGTTAAGGTGAGCAAGTGTTGTTGGACACTGAGCTCACGAACCCTCTGCCTTGGTGTTCGTACTAGGGTTGAGCTGGTATCTAACGAGCTATGTGAGCGACGCCTCTACCCTATGCCTCTCTATGTGACGCCAGAACGGTATTCAACGCATCGTGTAGCACTCTGAGCGCTAGCGCAGCCTTCATGCACACAGCTTCTCAACCGAAACGGATAGTTACGATAGCCAGTAAAGGACATTCCTCTTCTTCCGCAGTATCGGTCTCGCAAGCCAGGCAAAATTACTCATAACCGTACATCCTGCGGCCTGAGAACTTTTGAAATTTGGTTTGTATTCACACGGGGGAAATTGACTACTCGACTAATCTACGAACTTAGGTAATTTGTTTATCTATGGCGGCTGCAAAATGCTATGTACCCTTCTGTAGCTCTTGTCTCGCACCAAGTTTCAAGTCAGCCATGTTATCTCTGTACTAGCTGGAGTTACCCAGCCCCGAGTTTTATCATTGGGTTGTCATCTAGGGCTGGAGCGAGTTTTTCTCGTAACTTGGTTTGTGCACAAAAAAAATTGTGTACAATGAATGGCGGTCGATTATCAGGCATTATCAGGCATGACGTCACGCGGAAGCGTAACACCCGATGACTGTTTCATGCACTAATATGAGGTTTACCACTCGCATCACAGCTTTGGTACTGGAACCGCAACCGATTGTGCATGAAACAGTCAATGGGTGTTACGCTTCCGCGTGACGTCATGCGCCAACAGCCAGCGCAGCCGGCAAAACCGAGTAGTTGACAGCGCTCTGTGCCTGATAATCGACCGCCATTCATTGTACACAATTTTTTTTGTGCACAAACCAATTGCGGTCCTGGCCATGCCAGCAAGTTAGCGGTTATTCCTCCTGTTTTCACTGCAATTGTAGGCTGAATCTTCATCGTGGATCGTTTTTTACTTCAAGGACCTGTGTAATGGTTATTCCAGGCAAGTTTGGGGTGAGTTGCAGTTGCAATTAGTGTGTAACGGGGACAAAATTGAACATTTTCCAAATTTTTTTGCCTATACTACAAGTTACGAGAAAAACTCGCTCCAGCCCTAGATGACAACCCAATGATAAAACTCAGGGCTGGGTAACTCCAGCTATCTCTGTACACGTTTTATTAGATAAACGTTATGCGACACAGTAAGCTTGATAAAAAACGGCTCATTTAATCCAAATAGTTTAAAGTAATACGTAAAAGACGAACGGATACTTCATTGAAAAACCCAGAGTCCTGAATATCATAAAAGTTTAATGCAGAATAACTACATAATCCAGCTTTGGTAAGTGAATGAATGGCATGCCTGTCAATTAAAAACAACAAAAAAGAAATTTAAAATGCACTGCACAATGGGACGTTCTTTTAAGAGTCCAGGAGGAATGTGTTAATGAGTATTGAATGAAAAACTGGCACAAACTGGGCCCAATGTAATGGCTCTGCTTGCCATAGTAATATAAACAAAAATCCACACTAACCACAGCAGCAAATCCCATGCTTACAATTAAACCTATTTCACAGGTTAGCGAGGATTTTTGGCTAAAGAGCAGCGTACATGCTGTAACTAAGGATTCTGTGCTAACAGGGTTAGCAAAGAATTCATTTTTTTGCTTTTGCTGTTAGCACTGAATGGTGATTGTCAGCGGGGAATTCTGTTGTTAGCAGAGACGTGAAATGCGCCCTGATCAGTTGACGAAAGCCTCACTGCTAAAAATATGGTTTGGGGATCTAGAAGACAAAAAAACCTGAACTGCTAACATGCTGAGCAATGCAAAGATGCGACCCTCCAGCACAAACAGACAGAAGTCATACGGACATATTTTGAGATACAGCCTATATTAATGTACAGTCAAAACTTCAGAAATTCAGATTCAGGCATTTAAAGCTAAACATAATACATGTTTTCACTTTCAAAAAAGTTAACTTGTTAATTTCCGAAGGAGTTCATTTGGGAAACTTGACCAACAAGTTTCTCGATTTTTAAAAAACTGTCCGAGGCCCAAAACTTGGGAACTGAAAATACCTAAAACTCCTTCAGATTTTGTCCGATTCACATATTCTGTACATCATTGGAAAGCTTATTCAATGTCCTTTCCAATGAGCCAAAATCTCACTTTACAAAATTTGGTCCAAGTGACTGGTTTTGTGTTTGAGTATCGCATCTTTAAACCTAACCTCCCCCCCCCAAAAAAAAAGTTACACGCCAAAAAAGAAAAAAAAAAAAAAGGGAATCCATACCCAACAACAATCACAAAATGGACAACTAAAAATCATATTACCTTAGTTACACGTAAAATACAGTAAAATTAATATCTTAATGAAGTTGCCATAAAAATAACAGGATTTGTGAGGCTTAATCTGATGGTTCTCGTAATTCACTTTATACACATACTGGGGCTCAAGAGAAACATTTTTTTAAAAATGTTCCCCTCGCACTGCAAAAACATATCAACCAACATGAAGTCATTAGCATGGTGCTCCTTGCTGATGTGTATAAACGCCCTCTTCAAATAAAATGCAGGGAAAAAATGCCATGCATTCATTGCCTAAAAAACATAAATTCCCAAATCCCAAATTTTTAGACGATTCAATCACGGCTAGTTCCAACAAAAACTCCAGTGTGAACACAGAAATGAAAAGTACATGTATTCTACTCTTAGGGGAAAAGAACTAATCTTTAAAAAAGTTTATCTATGAACATGATAACTACAAACTGCTATGTACACAAGATGGAGACCTCACCACACTAGTGTGAATGCCGACACATTGTTTGTACTTTCACGTGGCTTGCAAACGAAGTCTGCATCAAGTTTTTTAAAAACAAGGGCAACAGTGTCCATTGCAGTATCGGCCACACTGTATCTAAGCAACCGGGTCCGGTATCCTGACTTGTTGGTGTGCTGTAGAAACTATTGTACATCTTGGACTTCTCACTGACCAAAGTCTGCTACCTCAGATCAAGTCAGCAACTAGGGAAGAAATGTAGAAAGAATCCAGCATGACAATCTTTATTGCTATATTCTTTGCACACAACTTTGCACCGTAGCTACCCCTCCCCCTCTCTGGCTTGTAAATTCAGCTGCGCCATTACAGCAGTCAAAATCAAAATCAAGTGACTGTTTTTAACAGTTACGAATTCCCTTGTTACTTTGATATAGCCATGCTTTGACTGGAGGTGATTGATAAGCCAGCTGTACCTACCAGTTACCTCTTTTGTCTGTTGATGGAATTTGACTAGTCACAGTGTTTACACGAATGTGATCTGACTGTTTCTTATTAGCCTGTATACAAATGCATGGCAGGGGAAGTGGAAGAAATTTTGACTGTCTTTGACTTATCAAACAATAGGACGGCTCTGTAGTGAAATTTTGAGGTTACCGCCAGGTGCTTCACATCATTTTTTTCTTTTTTTTGTGCCAACACTGAACGTTCCGTTTCATGCAATGCATTCAAATGACTGAATCAAATAGTCCTTTGTTGTCACAACAAATGCAACACTCTGGGGCAGGACGCGTTCACACCGCATCCATGCATGTCCAGTATGACTACATTGCCACGACGCCTGCCCTACAATATGGCATTTGTTGTAGCAACAACAGACTATTCAATAGGTCTCGTTCAAACGACGCCATTTCCTACAGACCATCCATGTGCATCGGCATTTTGAGCGTCAACTTGCATAACGCGCATCGGCTGCGTCGTATCGAACACTTTTCGAGCAACAAGCGCGCGTGTTTGGAACATTTTCAACACTGCGTAATGCGTGCTTGATTGCGTAAAATACACAGTTACAGTTCTCCTACAGACACGGCTGTCATTCAGTGAGTCCTATACAGATTATGGACTCTATGCACATGTACCCCCTCAACGGTTACAAAGGAAGAGTTGGTGGAGACCACTGGGAGCGACATTCAAACGCATTGCCGAAGACGCCTGATGCTCATGCGAAGATGCTATTGGTTTGTGCACATTCAGAATATTAGTCCTGCATGCCATACATGCATGGACCAGAACATGCACGCAGTGTTCCCACCCACTGGGGCTCTCCAAAGTGACCACAAAGTGCCATTTATTGCTGGCACAATGATTAATGATACACAAGAACTACAGTAAATAATCTTGTTATATTGTGTGCTTGGATACTGTAATTTCATTGGTCTAGGACGGCCACGTGTCTGGTCTATAAAAACGCATGTCACACACTGAGAATGATATCGCACTGCGTTCGTTGCGCGCGCGTGTGAAACCTGCTAGCGCGCCAGCTTCACACAGTGAGATCTGCAACTTCAAACGCTCAGTCTCATGTCCAGCAGGACATCAAAACCTTCAGTTATCAAAGGTTACATCACAGTGATTTAATTTCTCACATGGTAATTTACAACCATATTTTTTTTATTAGTTATTGGCACGATATAACAAAATAATTGTTGACTGCTGTGATGTGGGATATGTCGTTTTTAACCCCTCGGGGTGCATAGCACCTTCGGCTTCGCCTCGGGTGCTATGCGCCCCTCAGGTGTTAAAAGTGTCATATCCCACATCACAGCAGTCAACAACTGTGACATGAATATGAGATGTGAAGGTTTGCATGGTGGAAGGATACTAAGACAAGATAAGTTTGCGGTAGCACCATGTGAATAAATCTCTTTTGTAAGTATGTGTGTTTCTGAAAAGAACCGGAGGGACTCAACGTATTCATGTGAAATGAATACTTAAAACCTTTGGTCACTGTACCACTCCCCCTCCCCCCCCCCCCCCAAAAAAAACCCCAACCGCCCTGCCTGTTACTCCCTATGAGCTCTGTGCGCTACCAAAAGAGGGCGCCCTTTTACCTAGCAACGACGTCCCATGGGCGGGATATTTCGCTGGTTGACGCGCACCGCTCCTTGTGTGTGACCCACGTACACCAGGGGATTTGTTCTATTTACACGCAGTGGCCGCGCTTCGCGGCAAATGAATTGCAGTCAGGCAAGATGGCGTCGGTCGGTCACCCCCAACTGTACTTCCTTTGCCGGTGAGGGGGTACTTGTGAACGGAGCGGATAGCACCTGAAGCAAGCTACCGTAATTTTCGGAATATAAGCCGCGGCTTATACGTTGATTTTGCCCATGAAAATGTTTACTGCGGCTTATACACAGGGCGGCTTATACGCCAAGCCTTGAAGAATAAAAATGAGATTCACATGTGTATTTAATGTACTGGTACAAGAAGAGATGTGTTGCTGAAATGAATTATAAATTAAGAAAGTCATTAATAAACCGAAACCACGTCTCACGTAAAGGTACCGAGCGGTAAAAAGTACGGTGATGAAAGTTGTCTTCGACACTTGCAACCAGCAGTACGTGATACTGGTACAGTGCACGTATCTTATTCCGCGCAAAACGGTTTGCGCGTGAGCGTATTTTAAAAAAATTTATTTATCAGCGCGAAAACTCACCAATTAAACCACCCCATATCAGCGATGACATCGCCTCTGACGGTTTCTAAGGAAGGAAGCTTCATCAAAATGATAAATACTTTTTAAATTATGAAAATATCATTTTGTAAACTAATTTTATCCAAGTTTGAATTTTGGGATGATTTTGCATGAAAATTTAACTTTTTTCTTGATATCTCATCAAAAAAGGGCATATTTCTAAAAGTGTTTTTTTTACGGAATTTTAACTTCTGAAAAGTAGTGAACGAGGGTGTAATCTTCATTGTTTTCTATATGGGAACCGAGCTAATGCCCACTTGAATATCACATTTTTTGCGACATTTCGGCTTGAAAACGCATGTGACACGCGTTGAGCATCAAGAAATGCACACGGGGAAGCTGCTAAACGAGTTCAAAAATGCTGAATCTTGCAGCAAAAACGAAGATTCTGTACTGCTTATGTCTCGTCGAAGTCAAGAAACCTCCGATCTCCATTCACACCACGTTATAAAGGACATGGCAGGCATTGCATGCCCGCACTCGTCATGCTCGTGGGAAGAAATCTGACACCATTCGGCGGCATCACGCGGTCGTCGCCGGCCAGCCGTGCCGGGAGTTCGAGCTCGAAACCCCACCACACACATCGCTTGTGACAGGCACCGCTTTGGAGTCGAGTTTTGGGTGTAATATGCGGGTAAACAGGGATTTGGTTTTGTGCAGTAAATATGAAAACTGGTTCAATTTCAAATTAAATTTTGTGATTATGACTTGGCTATTCCTTCTTCCAATGTATTTTTGTGTCATATATTTTTTAGACATTTTAATGTTGCGTTTTGCATTTTTTAATCTTGCTTTATTTCCTTTTCCATTTTTTTTGCAGCTGTAAATGGAGATGTTTTGATTGTCGTTCCTTCTGATGACGATCTGACGATGCAGACCTTGGAATCTACATTACGAGACATGATGAAGAACTCTGTGAAGAATAAAACTATGGCCAGACTTGAACTAAATTAAAAAAATCCTTTTATTTAATATACTTTAAAGATTTTTAATTATTTTAATAATGGAGACTAGACATGCATTAAACAGAAATGTAACCATTAACAAATGTACTCAGAAGTAGTCAGAAGAAATCAAAAGTAAGTTTACCGACTTAGTCTTAGAATAGAATTACATGGCTTCTGCTGACAACCAAGTACATGTATCATCAAGCCAATGCGAAACTAGAGACTTTAATTGTTTATTTAGACAAAATATCTCCTGATTAAATTGATATTGCAGTATACATGTAGTGAACAAAAATTGCAGTATGGTTATAAGACAAAAATGCTTGGGTCTAGTAACATCGGCTGTTATATTGGATTCGAAATTAGGATTGCAGCAAGGATTTAATTTTTCATTCTAGTGATGTTCGAATAAAAGTGTTTTTTTTTACAAATTATTTTGTTGAAAGAACAAAAAGCAAAACACTAAAACTGGTCGGTGTTTAAAACTGAAATTGAAACTAGGGCTTTCAAAAAGAAAGGGATGGAAAGAGAAAATTCAATGAAATAATTATAATAATTTAAATGAGGAATAGGTCTACTGAATACTATTGCTACTTTTCATAAATAATGGATTATCTTGTAATTTAACAGTCTACCAGGTGCAACAATAAAAAATTTCACGGAACTGCTTAAACACTCGTGAATCTGCCTATGCTTTAGCACGCAGGTAAGTTCCCTATACAATTACACGCAAGCTTCTCATGAAAAGCGTGAAATACGCGAACGAGATCAACTTCTGGTTGAGTGCAAAAAATATTAGCTCAGTTCTCATAAAATGGAAAAATTACAATAATTAATGGACTACTAGGTCAGCCAAGGCAAATTTGCTGGAAAAAAATTTTTTTGGAATGATAAAGCAGAACTTTGAGGTTCGTTTTTACGCGTGGAAAGTTCGTGCGCGTTTTTGCGTAGTGACGTCACAAACGCGTGCGTACAGCGTTCTCCCGCGGGATTTCGGGTGGCCATTATCATAATTTATGTGCGCACGCTCAGACCAAGTTGACACTGGTGTCATATTTCACTGACGTACGTGAGTGCAGCAGCAATATGCAGCATGCTTTCCCCCCAGCGGACCACACCATTTGTGGTAATAAAGGGGTGTTCTTTCTTGGGAACAATAATTACCAATATTTCCGCTGTTTAAAAAAAAAGAAAAAAGACGACTAAAATTTTTATGGCGTTCGAAACATTTTTTTATTACATAATCAGTTGTTCAACGTCACACTATATTTTGTTTTCTTGAAATTTATTCAAGAAACGATGTAAAACTCAAAAGAGGGACTAAATCACCCCTTACAAAATTAATGGAATCGTCTATTAAAATGTCCGCTTCGATCGAAACTTGAATTTTTATCGCAACTACTGGTTAGTAATCGCAACAATTTGATAAGTTTTGAGGTAAAAACGGACCTGTTTATTCTTAGGACAAAACAAATCAGCATCTGTTGCCACAAAGCAAGATTTGTAGCGCTCCAGTCAGACAACACACGGTGGGTTTCATACTCTCTCACGTACTGTGGGAAAATGTTGTCATTCACCGGCGTGCGTGGCGCAGGCTGCCGGGCTATGACGGGGCAGCCAGCAGCAGTTCCCGGTGATATTTTCTCATCAATTCCCATATTTGTTTGTAAAAGTATCGATTGTAAATGATTCGATATAACTTTTGTGGTCCTTTTAATAGCTTCTGTAGTGTAAATGGAACTGGTTCAGAGCATTTTGACTAGAATTTGGAGGCCTTACAAAATTGAAACCGCAGCGGTCGGTGCGGCTTATACGCCGGTGCGGCTTATACGCCGACTTCAAATCTTAATTTGCAGATTTTTGCGTGCTGCGGCTTATACGCCGCGCGGCTTATATTCCGAAAATTACGGTAAGTGCTCTAGTATTTTACTTGTTACAGGTGCTGATGGGTTAATGCATGTGTACTCACCATTCATGGGCATTTCATCAATCTGTGTACTGTAATACTGCTCAATATCCCTCAAGATGCGAATGTCGTCACTCTTGACAAAGTTGATGGCCACACCCTTACGACCATAACGACCCGATCGGCCAATTCTGTAAATCGTGTTGAAATGTTCGAAAAAAATAACAATTTTAGGAAATCCAATGGACAATTACGAATGAAACACTCAATAATGACAAGCACATTGAAATGCACAAGGGCCAATTCACACAGAATAGACCTCATGCGTTAAGGCGGCGTTAGAGGTCAATGGTTTTGTATGACCTGGATTACTGAATTCGGGCGATTCACATTGCAGTGCGCCACCAAGATTTTGCAATGGAGAGTCCATTTTTCAAGCTTACGGTCGACAAAACATGGCCCATTTGAATGAGTGTCAGTAGACAACTTGAGCTAATATGTCATAGATTGGGGCATAGCGTTCTGCCGCCTTACAAAAAACACCGTATTGATAAAAAGCAAACAAAAGGGCAAACCTATACTCGAATCATACGCTTACGAAACTACTGACAGGAACAACGAGCAATTTCAAATATCCCATGCTGCGAATTTGTCGACCATTTCCCACAATGCACTGGGAAAAATGAACTTTCCGTGGCAAACTCTTGGTGGCGCACTGCATTGTGAATCGCCTGAATTCAAATAACAAAGAAGGCCCTCTAGGGCGCTTCTGAGGAATCCTTGGGTGCTTTTGAGGAATCCTTGGGTTTTTCTGAGGAATCCTTGGGTGCTTTTGAGGAATCCTTGGGTGCTTTTGAGGAATCCTTGGGTTTTGCTGAGGATTCCTTGGGTGCTTCTGAGGAATCCTTGGGTGCTTTTGAGGAATCCTTGGGTGCTTTTGAGGAATCCTTCGGTGCTTTTGAGGAATCCTTGGGTGCTTCTGAGGAATCCTTGGATTTTTCTGAGGAATCCTTGGGTGCTTTCGAGGAATCCTTGGGTTTTTCTGAGGAATCCTTGGGTGCTTTTGAGGAATCCTTGGGTGCTTCTGAGGAATCCTTGGATTTTTCTGAGGAATCCTTGGGTGCTTTCGAGGAATCCTTGGGTTTTTCTAAGGAATCCTTGCGTGCTTTTGAGGAATCCTTGGGTGCTTTTGAGGAATCCTTGGGTGCTTTTGAGGAATCCTTGGGTGCTTTTGAGGAATCCTTGGTTGTCTCATTACTAAAAAATAATAGTACTACATCAATATCCATACTGACGGCGTAACATATTATGAGGATATTTCCAGACTCACCGATGGATGTAGAGCTCACGGTTGTTTGGCAGATCATAATTGATGACTAGTGACACCTGTTGCACATCCAGCCCACGGGCCCAGACATCTGTGGTGATCAAGACTCGTCTAGGAGAGACAATATCAATACAGCAATAAATCTTAACTCCAAATTGCATCCCTCAACAGGGAAGATTTTCCTAATCAGTTCCGATTACTCAAAACTCTGAGCAGACACAAATATCGCTTTGTTTCTTAACAGTGGAACAGAAGATCGCCATGGCTTGATGTACCACATTCAAGATGTATTGGCGAGTCTTTGAGGTCAGGCAGTGATGTCTGCGTCTTTAAACACAACTGTAAAACTTGCTTCTCTCCACCCAGGCAGGAATATATGGTGAACGTCATGTAAAATCCAGTCACTATCGACTCATTGTTGCCGTGAACCCAAAACCAGATTGGCATGCCTACTTGAGTTTGAATGGACTCCATAAATAAGTAACCCCGAGGTGGTTACAAAGGGAGAGTTGGGGGAGACCAATGGGAAGGTTTGAATCCAGCCGCTGGCCTCATGTTGTGTCCTTGGGCAAGCCACTTCACCCGCACTTGCCTCTCTCCACCCGGGAGTACAAATGGGTACGGGTATTAACTGGGGAGTATTTGCGATGAACTGGCATCCCATCCAGAGGGAATTGAAATATTGTATGCCGTTTAATGCCAGGGAAACCGGAGACAAACCCCGGCCTGACTGTGCGTCAAGCCCACTGTGTGTCAAGCCCACTGTGTGTCAAGCCACTGTGTGTCAAGCCCACTGTGCGTCAAGCCCACTGTGCGTCAAGCCCACTGTGCGTCAAGCCCACTGTGCGTCAAGCCCACTGTGCGTCAAGCCCACTGTGCGTCAAGCCCACTGTGCGTCAAGCCCACTGTGCGTCAAGCCCACTGTGCGTCAAGCCCACTGTGCGTCAAGCCCACTGTGCGTCAAGCCCACTGTGCGTCAAGCCCACTGTGCGTCAAGCCCACTGTGCGTCAAGCCCACTGTGCGTCAAGCCCACTGTGCGTCAAGCCCACTGGGCGTCAAGCCCACTGGGCGTCAAGCCCACTGGGCGTCAAGCCCACTGGGGCTCACAAACAAGCTCGCAGAGCGTCATCTACTGTTCAAGCACGGAGTCTCTACTTACGTCGCGCCGGACCGGAACTCCTTCATGATTTCATCCCTCTCTTTCTGTGGCATGTCGCCGTGCATGGCGGAGACGGTGAAGTTGGCTTCTCGCATCTTCTCTGTCAGCCAATCAACCTAAGGATTCAGAGGATAGTCGGATTGTTCATTGTTACATCAAAGATCAGGCTGCCTTCAGATGATCTATTTAAGATTCAGATTTTAGATTTAACATTTGAACTATTTTGTTTCTCCATTCTAATGGAAAAACATGGTCTGCCATAAAAAAAAATGACTGATATAAATATACAAACCTATTAAAAACAATGAGGGAATAAGAGGTTAATACATTAAGACTGGAAATTAAAAGTATTTACAGATTAAGAGATTACAAAAGGCAATTAAAACCACCGTCAATGATTGTACACATTCGAAACTATTTCAGGCGAAATAGTTTCACAGGGTATTTCGAACCAGTGCTATTTTTAATTTGAGCAAGGTTTTTCTCACTAAACTAGCAGGTACTTTTTGGGGACATTTTGCTCTTTTAAGAGAGTGATAGTTTGTGTGATACTGTATTTAATATATTCACTACTCACCTTGCGCTTTGTATTGCAGAAGATAACAGCTTGTGTGATGGTGAGTGTGTCGTACAGATCACACAGCGTGTCAAACTTCCATTCCTCTCTCTCCACAGCCACAAAGAATTGCTTGATTCCTTCCAACGTCAACTCATCACTACAGCCAAACAAAACATGCACAACATTGAGCTAGAATCCCATATTAACCATTTGTATTACATTGTATTAAATTGTACTACACTGTATGTTTTCCTTGATGAACCCATAAAAACCACTGAGTGCTGGGGCAGTTTGGGGCGGTGTAGGGAGTATAGTACCCAAGTAAATCCTTGTCATTTGATTGGAGGATTGTAGGTCATGTGGCATTCATTAATCGAACCTTTGCATGGCCTACATCATAACTGTGCATTTTTGGTTCCATTCACCATGCCTTTTCTTCCCATCCCTTTCGATCTACTGCACTGTTTCGATCTATTGCACCTGGCGCTATACGATCTTTGTGCTATTTAGACCATATCACGAGTTATAGCAGTACAAAACTTGCCTTTGAAGTTGATGCAGTTGCCTTGATTATTTTCTTTGCATTGTTTTCAGAACTTACAATATTAATTTTCATTATTGTCAATGATTTGACTTTTAAATATTTGTTAGCCTTGAACAAGCTGAAAAAAAAAGTAGTGGATATAGTAGTAGTAGTAGAAAGTAGTGAGTTTTGTTTGTTCTTAAAGTTTCATCCTCCAATCAAATGACAAAGATCTACGTGGATGTTATATAAAACAAATAATGAATGTTTTGCATTCGTGCAATTGTGAGAATATTTTCATGAGTTAAAAGACGGGATAGTCCATTCAACTTGGCTTCGCCTCGTTGAATGGAACATTCAATCTTTCAACTCATGAAAATATTCTCACCACTGCCTCACCATTGCACTCATAAATATTCATTATTTGTTTCTTAGCACATGTATTACATTGTACTACACTGTATCTTTTCCTTGATGAATCCATAAAAATCATAGCGTGCTGGGGAGGTTTGGGGCGGTGTAAGGAGTATAAGGCAGGGGGATTGTGGGTTTAAAATGATCATCATGTGTGCATTAACTCTCATTCTGGCTCGGTACCCTTACCACAGTTGGGTGGGCGGAGAGACTGCATTGGAAAGATTGATCTACTTGAGAGCAATTGCAGTGTTATGAAAGGAAGTGTAATGTCTGTGATAGAGCCAATTAACCACATCTAACTACTGATTCAAAGAAGTGATTCAAAACTGCTAGTATGAAACTTATGCCAACAAGTGAATTTGGGATGATTCAGAAAGCAAAGGAGGGTAGGGTTCAGCAAAAATATGATTTAACCCTTACTCCCTAGGGTGATTTACCAGGAACCTTCCTCATCCTTGCAAATCCCAACACCATATGGTAAACTGTGCACATAAACAGTTGGACTCTGTTTATTTGTGGTAATCCGGGGAGTCAGGGGTCAGGTTGGCGTAGCGTTACTTTCCTCGCCTTCCACCGCTGTGACCCGGGTTTGAATCCCGCCCGAGCCAATATGTGGATTGGGTTTTCAGTCTCTACCTGATTCCGTGGGTTTTCCTCAGAATATTCCTCTGGGCTTTTCCTCCCACCTCTAAAATGTAATTTCTTCTCATCGTCTTCTCTCTACAAGTTTCTTCAGGCTTTCGAGCTACAGTGCTTAAAAGCACAGCCAGTTCACTAGTGCAATACTCATTCTAACAGATCCCAACAAACCCTGGTGTTGGAGTTTGGCTGGTTGGGGATCCTTAGGGTTAAGGGACTGCTTACCGCTTGACCAGGATACGGATTGGTTCAGTCATGAACTTTGTGGTCATCTCTAAGATTTCATGAGGCAGCGTGGCACTGAAGAGCAGGACTTGAGTGGCAGGAGGGAGGTAACGATAAACGTCATAGATCTGCTCCTTGAAACCTGCCGGCATAAAAGATGACCAGAAAACCAATGGTAGACAGAGGCTGTTAACTGGGGCACTGGTGGAGGTCAAAGGTCTGCTAGACTTGATTCCAGACTGCAATTTAACCCATTATCACCTGTACTCCATTGTATTACACTGTATTTATTCACGAATAAATTCATAAACCATAGAGTGCTTAGGCATTAACTATGACCCCCAAGAGTGATAACTTGGAACCTTCCTCACTCCTGCAAATTCCAACACCATATGGTAAACTCTACACCCAAACTGTTGGACTCTGATTAATGGTGGTATGCCTAGCCCCATGTAAAGAGTAGACAGTTTACTAGTGCAGTACTCACTCCAACAGATTCCAACAATCCCTGGTGTTGGAGTTTGACTGGATGGGGATTGTTAGGGTTAATAGGCAGTTTTGAGCCGTAAAGGGACTAATATTGGCTACATCTCAAATACAATTTTTTTGTTCTGTATGAAATCATGGTCTTGATAATTTCAAAGTTTTGAAGCCCACATTTTTCTGTTTTCTGAAAATAAACCACCAATCTGCACAGTGGCCAATCTACTTTGCTGTAATTGTTGTTTGAAATTGTCCCTCTACAAGACATCTACAATGTCTTATTTTTTTATATTTTTTTCAATTATTTTTTTTACTGTAGATGAATAGTTCTAGATTTGAACACAGAAACAAAACACTTGGAATTTTACAAAAACTATGCCAAAATTGTTTAATCCATCACAAAGATTCATCTGAAATGTGATGACTTGAAATATTGATATTTTTTTTTCCATCTAAAAATGATACACATTGAAAATTTGTATCTTCTTTGGACATCAGGCGTGGGATTTGCAATAACTCTTTATGCTCTGACCTTTATTGAGCATTTCGTCAGCTTCGTCTAGGATCAACATCTTGATGGAGCGAGTTCTCAGGTTCCGTCTTTTAATCATGTCTGGTGCAAAACATGCAAGTTAAGGGAATCACGATTCGTTCTTGTAACTTCCTGACAAAGTCAGAAATAAATTTGACAAATCTTTCACCTGATACTGCTGCTTGATTATATTTTAAGGATTAGATCAACTTAACGCAACTGATAACCCCACATTTAAGGTAGGTATATGTACATGTAGGATCAATTGGTTTCTGTGCATTTTTCTTTTTGTTTGAAGCAACAAAATTGCTCGAAATGAGGAGCACACATGCTATACTGGTGTACTTTGTAAATTACACAATATACAGTGGAACGTTGCTATACTGAACACCGTTACACCAAACATTTGGCTATATCGAACATCGTCCTTGGCTCCCGATTTTTGTGTACAAAATGTACCGAACATTGTTGTTGGAAATCGTCAACAAAAGAGTGACAAGTGGCTATTATTTCCCCAAGGAATAGAAGGAAAAAGCCACCCATTGCTGTAGGTTTTAACCTAACAAACTGTGTAATTACATAATTCAATAGTTGGCACGTGTTCAAAGTCATCTTTCAGTAAACTACCAGGCATGCAGGGTGAAGTTCTGAAGTGCGCTATTTGTTGAAAGTGAGTACCGGAGCACCAGCAGCTTAAAATCGCTATAACGAACAATGTCTGTGGATCCTGCGATGTTCATTAGCGGCGTTTCACTGTAATGGCTTTCAAAAAGTGGCAATTGTTAAGGGTTAAATAGATTTCCCTAACATTGTATGTGTTTTGCTGGTCTTAGAGGGCCACCCCAGTGTCCTGTTAGTACCTATCTCACTGACTGACCGACTGTCATTTTTTAGTCGGCAGTATTATTGTATTTAGGATTACACCGTAACAAAAGAATAGGCTAAATCTGGCCCACTGTGTAATAATAATAATAATAATTTACACATTTATATTGCGCAAATTCCATTTGAATATGATCAAATGCGCATCACAATTATTATGCCTGTTCAACAGGAATGAGACCATTTTTCTGCAGCAGCTCGAGATCAGCGCAATTTGCTCTCTACCTTCACAGGTATACATTTATACTCCTGGGTGGAGAGAGGCAATTGTGGTAAAGTGCCTTGCCAAGCGCACAAGCACCATGTTCCCTGACAGGATTCGAACCCATGTAATACAGCACATGAGTCAAACACCGTAACCACTAGAACACAGCGCCCCATTATTGACTGTGTAAACCAGATGCATGAAAAGCCTTTTCTGTTGAATAGCCATTCTGAATCAATGCACTCTAAAAAAGTGCGCTCTGAGACCAAGTTTACTAGGCTTGTCTAGTCTTGTTTTCAGTTTGTCCTCTCCTAACAGACATCTCTACAACAGAAGTATGTTTAAATATGCCACATGGAGGGGCAAGCTGCTACAATTAGAAACTCTTCGCCAATGACGGTATTATTTGTTGCAAAGGATACCAAAGACTCTGCCAGGCGTTCCCGACACGACGTGTTGGCCAAAGTCCAGCTTACGGATGTCTTCGCCGATACTCGTCCCTCCGATGCAGGAGTGGCATAAGACGCTCATGTAGTCACCGAGAGCCAGAATAACCTGGCAAATTCAACACAGCCACCCCAGCATTAAAACTCAATTGAGTGACTGTTTGTAACAGTTAAATGCTCCCTGCCACCAAAAAGCAGGTATTGACTGGCTGTGATTGTTATGAAACCTGATATAGCTTTGCTTTGACTTCAGGTGATTGATAAGCATGCTGTGAGTCCAAGTTACTTGCTTTTGTCTGTTGATGGAATGTGACTAGTCACAGTGCCTACGAGAAATAAGATCCGACTGTTGGTGACCAGCCTGTGTATAAGCTATGGGAGGGAAGTGGATTGAATTTCTGACTGTCTGTGACTGCTCAAACAGTAGGAGGGTTTGAATCATAGTGGTATTGTAAAGCAGCCATCAAAATTACGCAGGTACAAAATTGGTCAATAATGTTACAAGCACGATATGACTGATGTTGACTCTGAATACAATGTGGATGAAAGCGGAGGTGACAAACAGAATAACTTTGTCTCTTACCTTCTGAATCTGTACGGCCAGTTCACGGGTTGGCGACAGAATGAGCGCTTGTGTTTCTCGAATCTGAGCACAATGTACAACAAAAGTGAAGGTAACTGGTTTGAAATCAACACTAGTCTTAACTGGTTTCCTAAGCTCCAACTTTAATATGAGAGACAAACGAGTCAAGATATGCCTGAACAAGGAAAGTACATGTAGGTGTGGGAGGGAAAAAAATGCACAGACATCCCTGAGGAAAACCCAGGCAATCAAGAAGGGACCGACTGAACCTATCCACATTGCACAATGGTAGGATTGAACCTTGGTCACAGAGACTAGAAGACAAGGAAAGCATGACAGGGCCAGCCTGACTTCAGTCAGCTCTGTGGTCCCCTGTGTTTTGGCCATAAGATGGTCCGATCGAAACAAAGGGGCTTAGATACAGCAGCAGAAGATACTTAGCCCAAAGCCTCAAAGGAAAGTTGAGGTTTTGAATGATGGAGTAACAGTATGGGGCTTAGGATGTGTAAAGACCATGTAATTACATTAACCCAAACTCCCTCGGCATTTTTGCTAGGATGCAACCTCAATCCTGCAAAATCCTCCAACTGCCCCCATGTAAAAATTGCAAACAGCCTTAATCCTCCCAAATCCTCCGTTATTTCTTGAATGTGGTCCTTGAAGGGGTGACGACTGCCACTCCTGTAAAATCCTCCAGCAAACACTGTCAATATGTTGAGGCAGAGCCAGTGACATCCTGGAGCAGTGCGGAGGATTTCAAGTATAATCTAGGCCTAAATGTATGCACGGCTGAGCATAAACAACACAAGGTCCGGCCTATGACTTTGACACATTTTTGCCATATAGCCTGAATCCTGCAAAAATCCTCCATTTTGCAAAGAGGATTCTGGAGGATTTGGGAAGGTTAGGGTAGGGTTTTTATAAATGTCCCACTCGATAAGCCTCCAGGAAATTCACTTTCAAATATAACACAAAAAAATATTTTGTCTACATGGTTTTGTGAAATTGAAGGCCACTAACAACCAATGAAAACCAATGTGATATGTTATGTATAATATAAGGAAACGGACAAACCTGGGTGTCTAAGCATTGAAGGACTGAAATGGAGAATGTTGCCGTCTTTCCTGTACCAGACTGGGCTCTGTTTGTCAAAAACAAAATGCAGCAGCAATGGCACCATTAATATTTGTTTCTACAAATTAAATAAAATATCATCGATAGTAAGTCAGTTCGGTATGTCAACTGCGCATGTGCACAGTGATATGGGTCATGGGTCATTCTGGATAAGCGAGCGCTCATGGAAGGCACATGAACGCGCTAGGAGATGGTCCCAAGATACTTGGGCATTAATTAAAAGCAAAATTGGCGTTTAGGTAACATCGCCTAACATCATGTCAGCGATTTTATCCCGAATGACCCTTTGAACTGGACCACTTCATCGCGAGATACAGAACCGGCTTATTACCTACATCACTAGCAGTCTGTGTAATCGGCCAACCCTAACCCTGCTAAATGCCACAGAATGCACCAGTAGTAAAAAGTTGTTGCAAGTTGTTGCATTTAGCAGTGTCCTGATCTGCATGCATTCCATGCCTGCATTCCGTTGCATTTGGCAGGGTAGATACTTGGTACCAAGGCTGGCACTGCATTCTGTTGCATTTGGCAGGGTGCCTAGTGTTTGAGGGCACTGTGACGATGTTGTTTTAAACAGATGAGAATCCAAGGTTATTGACGTAAATTAACATATTGCTACAGCATGAAAACACATTCTTGCAATCCTTATTGCTCTGATTGAAGTCAAGATACATACATCTTTAACTGCTTCTTCCCTCATGGACTCTCTGTCAGCATACAAAACAGTACTAGTGATAACTCAATCTTGTGCCAATCAGCCAGTGTTCCAAAGTGTTGCGGAGCCAGTGTTCGAAATGTTCCCCAGGTCGTGATAGTGCATAGTGCAAAGACATATAAGCTGTTCAAGTATCAGTGCTACTTACTGTGCGATGACATCTCGCCCACTCACTATCGGCTTGATGGCTCTTTGTTGAATGGCCGAGGGCTTCTCAAAACCTGTGAAATATTCAGGATCAAAAGATCACCAAATTCAAGACACATTCACTCAATCATTTGCACTTCTCCCCCCCCCCCCCCGGAACGTTTAGTAATGACTTTTGCAAGGGTAGGCCTAAGTCTCAAACTTAAAAGTATGATGAAGGTTTTGAGAAAACAGTAGAAGAGATGGGGTCCGCTCAAAAGTCCGACACCTCATAGGTCAGATGCCTCATAAGCCCGAAATTTCGGACTTATGAGGCGTCGGACTATGAGGCGTCGGACTTATGAGGCATCGGACTAAAGAGGAAGAAAATTTCTTTATTCCAACTCATAGGTCCGACGCCGCGTAAGTCTGATGCCTCATAACTCCGACACCTCATAAGTCCAAAACAGCATTTGTCCATTGTCGGACTTATGAGGCGTTTGACTTATGAGGCATCGGACCTATGAGGCTGAATTTATGCCTCATAAGTCCGACGCCTCCAAAATTTTGGACTTACGGGGCATCGGACCTATGAGGCGTCGGACTTATGATACAGCCCTGAATATACAGAGTGAGTAAAAAAAGTCCCTTTTGATATGTCCTTGCCTCCCACAAAAATGGGAAAAGGTTACCAGTTTTTTCTCTTCGGCCAACATTCCTTCTGGGTATTGACCACAGGCAGTAAAAGTTTCACTGATATTCAGCCATGCATGAAAAGGTTACAGGCGTTCATTGTGACTACCCAAAAACACTACCACACAATGTTTATATCAACACTATGGCTACAATGGGCCTTTGGACAATTCTGCAACCTTAGATAGGCCTAGGTTCTTTTGATAGATTCCCATATCAGGCCATCACTTGTCACCCTGTGCATAAACCGTATGAGACTGGTCTGAAAATGTCTAAGTGTTTTCTCAGTAAATACTTCAATATTTTCCCTGCAAAATTTTACTTTTAAGGACATATTATCACTTTCTGATGGCTGATAGGTCACTGAAGGGAACAATTAGTGATGGCCAGATATGGCAATCTTTTTGTTCTGTTTCAAGTCAATCAAAGCTTCGTGAACGACTGCTGAATGGTGTGAGGTACTGGTATGTACATGGAATCTTGGGTGGGAAATAGAGGTAAAAACGGAGAATTTTTGGGAGGCCATTCTGGAAGGGTCTCTTAAGCGGTCATACTAATAAGCGTCAACACAGCGTCAACACACACAGAAGCATCAACACAGCGTCAACACCTCCAAAACGCATTTAAATTGACAAAACCAGTGTTCAAACCGTACAGTATGAGCAGAAATAAAATTTTGGCTCAAAATCAATAGGATGTCTAATTTTTGTGAAATTTCATGTTGAAATTTTGATACGCAAACGTGTGCAAATGAATGAATCTGGAAATTTCATGAAAAATACTTAAATAGACATCTGAAAAACTGGGAGAACTTTCTGATTAGCCTATGAAGAGGGTGAGTATGCTTCTAAAGCAAAAAACCCCTACAAACTAAGCCTAAATGTGAAAATCAAAATTTGGCAAAGTGCGACACGTTTTTGTACATGTGTGGCCTATGTTTACGGAGGTAGTCCAGTAAATTGGCCACATTTATGGGGCTATAGTATAACGAGGTAAAACGTAACAAAAAATTTGGTCAAAATTTTGGGTGGTCTTATGTAGAGAATTCTCATCCTGGACGTCAGTCGTAGTCGTCCAACCTGGGCTAAATTCTAGGAGTACAAAAAATTATCACGGATTGAATGCAGCATGCAATATGCATCGTCACCGACTATTTCTTTGCTCAACCGTTTGCGAGTAAAAATTTACCGTAAGCATATATGCCCTTGACGAGATCCTCTCGGAGGTTCATAGCATCGAATGTTGGTGTTACATCGACACTCTCGCTTGTTTCAAAGTGCATAGTGGTCGCCTCTTGGGACAGAACTCTCCTTGTGGACGCCATGCTGCAGCCGGTGTGATGAACATGTAATACAACCTCGTTCTCGGGTTACTTTCACATTAAAGCGCGCTAGCAACTAGTGTTAGCGTACCGTACCGGTGCACGCTATGGGGTCGAAGTTGAAGTTGCGTACTTTGCGTATGTGGAGCACGCCCTCTGTTTGTATTTTGGAGGATGCAAATCCCAATGGAGAAAAATGTGTGTGGAATGAAGAGATATTGGGAGGAGGGGGGGGGGGGGACTCAAGAATCGCTTACGCTAATCTTTCGAGACCCCATGTAGATATTCTTGTACAGCAATAACTGTTTTTTATTTTATCTTGTTTTTTATTTTGTTTTCTTGTTTTTTTTTTATTTTATCTAATCTTTCGAGACCCCATGTAGATATTCTTGTACAGCAATAACTGTTTTTTTATTTTATCTTGTTTAGGTAATAATCTTGCGTGAAAACAGGATAACAAGGAGTAGGGAGATTATAGGAAAGGAAAATTCATGCCGGGGCAAGGGCGTCAATCGCTTTTCAAAAGTGGGTGGGGGGGGGTACCTGGATGAGCACTAATGGGAGCGCGAAGCGCAAAACCCTATCCACATGGGGTTCGGGGCCCGCTTAAGGGTCCGGACAATGTTGGATTCTAGACGCTCTTTGGTGCGATCTGAGGAAATTTCTGACCATAACCATTTTTTCATCAAAAGATCATCTTTTAAATATAATTTTCGAGTTTGGAGTCATTGAATCAGCTATTCTGAGCATTATACATGTAGTAGGCTAAGATTTTTATTCGGGGACGAAAAGTGGGGGGGGGGGGGGACAAACGATATGATACCCTCCCTACTTTAAAAAGGAGGGGGGGGGCGTCCCCCACGGATTGACGCCCATGTACCAGGGAAAGACAATCAGATAGACGGAAAGACAGAGAAGCGGAAGGTGGAAAGAAGTGCAAGAAGGGAATGGAGAAACAGGAAACTGAGGAGCAGGAGAACTTAGAGAAGAAGAGGCCGCCTTTGTGCGCGTGCAAGGAGTGTCCGGCCGAATACAAACTGAGGCAGAGCCTGCATTGTCACGTGGACGGGCATCGTCGCGTAGTGCTAGCTGTCATGCAAGGATAATTTGCACCGCGACTACCGGCAGGAACACCCCGAACGATTTGACTAAGTGGATGACATTTCCTTAGAAACTGACGAGGAGCAAGCGACCTGGTAGCTGAGGAGACCAGAAAGGGACAACAAACAGCAACGGAGCGCAGAGCAGCCAGGACAACCCGCCCGAACGAAAGAGACCCAATGCAGAGGCGCCTCACCGACGGTTAAAGGTTCGCTCGAACCAGGTGGACGGTGACTCAGGAACCGCAGGAGAGGCAACAGTTCGCCTCCCCGTAAGAGGCTCACCCAGGAGTCTTCTTAACGAAAAGTAGAGGTTCAACGCAGCCTTTAGGCCGAGGACGCCCAATCGTGGCAGGAGGCAAAGGATCTGCACATGAAATGGCTGGCTGAGCAGCATGCAACATGAGAAACCGGGGAAAGCCCGGAAGCCCAGACTCCCACAAGCTGGGCAAAGGAGACCCCCCCCCCCACACCAATGGACCTCAGCACTGGGCATCGCCCTCGGAGGACGATGCGTGCTTTCTGCAGCCGCATCCCACAGGAAGCTGAAGAGGCCTCAACTTAAGTGCCCCGGCCCGGCAAGTCTCGACCAGGTGAAGGAAAGCCTAGCGCTCTCCAGTGACGACGCGCCGTCCAAGAGTCAGGCCAAGGACTAGCCCGACCGAATGATGCAGCCCCTGGAGAACCTGCTAGTGGACGGAAACCTGAAGGCGCCCTGCTGCTATGTGTCAAGATTGAAGAAAGAAGAGTCTCGTTTAGTACGTACTTCTCGTGACTCCGGCGTGCTTGCCGTATAGGAAAATCAAAGTTTGATAAAGTTTTTGTGTCGTATTCTGTCCGTGCGTTCAACAAATTCGATTTTTCTTTCCTAAAGATTTTGAAATTTGTATGCTGTATTCTAACGCAAAACTACGTTTTCTGTTATTGGTATCCACAACGCTATATAGGGCTTTCGGTTTTGGTTGTATCTGTGTACAGACAGATCCGCCCTGATAGCACAGTACATTGTATAGTTCCCAGTCTGTGCATCATTGATGCTATTAAGGTACTTGGGTACCAGCTCTCCCTTGCAAGAAAAACAAAATACAATTATTTTCCCGGTTTAAACTTGGACATAAGATAGAATGAGCTGAGTGTTAGTACATTTTTTCCACAGAAATAAAATTCACAATTCGAGAAAAGTTTCACCAGTTAACACCGTCTTTATTTAAATTGAAATTTAAAAGCTGTTCAAATTTAAACTATACACCTACTAGTGCTGGACTGTTTCCCGACCCCCCTAAAAACCTGAAGTCCGAAAGAAAATGGGGACAGGCAACCAGACTAGTGCAAGTTTCCATTTTTTCATTCCGTGCCTTTTTTTCAGGTTGAATTTTTCAAAGCAAAATTGCAATTTGAACGCCGCCATCCTTCCACTATTCAAGCTCGAAAAAACCCCCAAATAATTGCATCATTTTTAACTAAAACAGAAAAAAATATCGATATGTAAAAGGGCCCCATTAGGCCCTATGACTTCTGGTCCCTTAGTTGTTGAGTATGATTTGTCGGTCCCTTAATAATATTGGGCCCTGTGTTTTCTAGCCCCTTAATAGGGCTAGCGTGGCCTCACCCCCTCAACTATTTTGTATTTTAATCCTCGTAAGTTTTCTAAGTTTAGCTCCAGCTGTTCCTCCAAGACTACATTATTTGTCTTGCAGTTAAGACCCCTACCTGAAAATGGAATGACCCCATGAGGGTGCAGCGATTGGGGTGGTATCAGCCATAAATTGCTAACGAAAAGCTAATCCGATTACGTATTTCGACGCTACAACAGAGCAGTGAAATTCATGCACCCCAAAAAACATGGCATATTGAACGTTGTGTTTCTCAAAAAATATGCTGTGTGATTGAAATGTTAAAATATAACGGAAGAAGAAATTCTAAACTTCATGTCAGTAAAACAAATCGCCGTCATCGATGCCGAAACGTCAATACTGGTTTCTGGTATTGCTGACCTTCAAATCCGGAAGAAATCGTAAACTTCCCCAAATCTATGTATTTAGATCAGGAATCAGGAATTTCTAGGAATCTACTCAAGTTGTTATTTCACGAGTAGTTAGACACTTATATATTCTAAGTATATTCCGAATTTCAGCTCAATCTGTTGTTGATAACGTTTGCGTTTCACCTTACACCATCTCTAAGGAAAATTTTGACAAGGATTTTTTGCCTACCCACCCACGTGCACTGTTCAGCAAAGCGCCGTATGCACTACGGTTGACCGATTTCGGCCCGGCAACACAAGACGACGGGCATTTTAGCATATTCATCGGGGCGTCACTCGGCGTGACTTGCCGTGGGTCTCGCGGTTTCAACGCGACCAATGGAAGCCGGTAAAAAGTGTGATAATTATCAATTAATAACTCGTGAAGGAGGCTTTTATGCAAATTTTACTGCTCACCAAAATGGATAGGAACCTTATTGATATTTGTGAGGCTTGAAAAGATTGACAGACATTGCTAACTCCAGTGTTACAACTTTCAAATATGCACGTAGCCAGGCCTATTTTTCCAATTTCAACGAAAAGTAATGAACATATCACAACGATTTTTAGCACATACTTGGATCATTATAAGGGAAATAAACCCTGAAAGTTGCATGGAGATACGGTCTTATAAACCGGAGAAATTAATTTTCAAAGATTTCGCCCGCCAACGTGAACATGTGTGTGTACAACTTTTCATTCAAAATAAAGTGTTACGTAACCTTTAGAAATCGCCCTTCGCAACTACATGACTGCTTAATTGGGCTAACATTGCCTCAACACTGCAACTATTTTTATTTTAATCCTCATACATTTTCTAAGTTTAGCCCAGGCTGTTCCTCCAAGACTACATTAAACGCTTGAGAGTGGAATGACCCCATAGGACATGAGGGTGCAGCGATTGGGGTGGATGTGGTCCAGCATGCTTTAATAGTGCTGTATATCATCATCCATTCCAACCGCTGCCTCCTTGTTCCCTCTCCTATTAGCTCGCCAACAATTCCTGGATCTTTGATCCCCTACCCCCTCCCATTAGTTACGTATTGTTTGTTGTTCATTCTGGGAATATTCTCCTCTTTAGATTTCCTGTGATTATCATAATATCCGAAGCTTCTCAGGTCAAATGAATTAAAATAGAGACAGTTAACCATGATTTGAGTATTTTGACGTGTTGGCGTTAATGGTTTTAGTCAATGTGGGCAATTTATTTTCCATTCTAAAACGTGGTCCCAATATTTTCTCTCCGTAAACTATTTTACAGTTTTTAAGCTGCACTCAAAGTCATGTATATACAACTTTGTTATTTTACGGACGGAAAATATCGGAGCCACTTGTTAGAAGGGTGAAAAAGGTGCCCACATGGTCCACAAACCTGAACGCCACATACATACTAATGTTTTAGCAAAAACGTTCGAGGGAGGAGTCTGCTTCCTTCAACGGTAAGTAGATATTATTCGCAGTGCGATATTATACAAATAAAGAATATTTATGAGTACAATGGTAAGAATAATTTCACGAGGTGACAGGAATGTTCCATTCCACGAGGCGAAGCCGAGTAATATGGAACATTCTATCTGTTCCTGAATGAAATTATTATTTCCATTGCACGAATGTAAAAACATTCGTTAGTTGCAATATACAACACCTGAATAAATCATCGTCGTCTGATTGGTCAGAGCCACCATCGATCAACGAACCACCAATCACATAACTTGGATTTATTAAGGCGTTGTATATTAATAAGGAAGAACCGTCACTGCTTTTTTTGCTCGTGGTTCCTATGAGTACACTTAATCGTCATTTTTCTCCAAGAAACAGTTCCCATTGTCAGGCAAGTCACAGATTGGCTGCATTAGGTCCACTTCAAACGTCGAACCTCTGCCGTGTCTAATTTAATTCTTTGCTAAGCCGTGCATAAATTTAGGCCCACGGTGGTGCTCCACCCCCCCCCCCTCCGGAGATACTGCGAAAACACTTTTCTGCGAGAAGGAGGTTCTCTCTCCTTCAACAGATGTAATTTTAACAATACGAGGACACAGTTTTCATTGTTTGTTCATTAATCCTACTGCTCCTTACTCGAGAAAATCATTGTCACAACATCCTGACTATATGGCTGCTTTACAGTCAAGAATACCGGTGGGCTGAATATGATGCTTAAAGGAAGGATACAACATTGCAGACATAGAAAAACGAAATGATCATATTATCACAAAATACCTTACTGGATTGTGAGGAATGACAGTCCAAAGCATCCTGTAAAGTTGTGGCTCCTGGAGTGCTGACATTTTCAAGAAAAGTTGTATTTTTCCAACGCTGGTCGGCCGACCAGCGTTGGAGAAAACTGGCTTTTTTTCAAAAAGTGCTCCTAATTTTTATTCCGCATTTTCTTTCAATTGATTACACACCTCTGAAGGGGTACAAGCCTGCTAGACGCCTAGACTGATTCTCTGACATTACAAAAATCCCCAAAGTCTATTAATTGCTCCGTTTCATCTTCAATGGGGTCAGGGAACCAGACTACAAGAACATGATTGGTTTTCTTGGTTTTCCAGCCTTTACGAACCCAAAACGTGAAACAAATCAGTGTAACAATACTTGCTATAGGACCTAAACATACTAATTCTCAAATCCATTTATTTCTGAAAATTGCAGCAAAAGCAATTTTGTACATTCCCTTTATACGAATTCGGATTCAAAAAGGCGTTGCGTGTTTCTATGTACACCTTTGAAACGCCGCCATTATGTTTGAACGCCAAAACGTAAACGGCCGACAGGCGCATGCCCATTTTAAAACGGGACGTCCCAGTGTGATTCTGAGTTGGGACGTGCCAATAATATCGAATGAGGCACGGTGGCTGAAATTCGCCGTTTGAAGCCCTGCCACTCTTCTGCCGCTCAGAGTGTTGGCGCTTGCCCACCGTCTTCAGGTCGTTGTCAAGGACGATTGCTAGTGTGGTACGAGGGCGTCCTCGCCAACCTTCCATGTCTGCTTCTGTGCCGAAGTACTCGTCGATGAATTTCAGAGCAGGTACATCTCTCAGTAGCCACAGGACATGGCCGAAGAGTCGCCTGCGTGCTTCAAGGGTCCGGATGCTGAGTGGACCACACTTGCAGCGACGATAGAGTGCCTTTTTGGAGATGCGATGTTGCCACCGCATGCCAATGATCTGTCGTAATTAGCTTCGGTGGAATGAGTCCAGTTGGGTCGTTCTGTTTATTTGAGTGAGGCCCCAGGTACCCATGTCGTAGAGAAGTACAGGGAGCACGAACGGAGTTCCTCACTCATGTGGTGACGCCGTAGCCATAGTGCTTTCATTTTGTGGAATGCCACATTGGCTAGCTGCTTACGGTGAGCGACATCTTCACCGTCTCCCAACAGTGAGCCGAGCTTCTTCGTCATGCGCCACTCATCTCCTTCACAGTGTACCTGACGCTTCATTGTAGTGTGCTCAGTCTTCGTGGAAACCATTAAAACAGACTTCCTGGTGCGGTCTGCTCCACTGTGTCGAGAAATTCTCGCGAGTAGCTCACGAAGTCAATGTTATCATCATGCATATGCTACATCAAGAGGAAGACCACCATCTCTATTGCTTCGCGTCTGCAGTTTTCCACGAAGGTCACGAAAAGCTGCTTCTAGGTAAACCACAAACAGTACTGGAGACAGGCTGTCTCCCTGAGGTGTGCATGGTGGTGTCAAAGGGTTCGCAGGTGCCCTTCTGCAGGCGGGGCGCTAGTGATGTTTCTGCTAAAAGAAGTCGTGTCTAATTCAAATAATTTCAAATTTTGGGCCATTAGTTGACGGCCGAAGTTCGACGTTTGAAACGGGCCTTAGTGCGTCTGTTTAGCGTATGCAGCTTCAATGATGAATAAGGGAATCGAAAGCAATGTCATTCCAGCATACACGAAGAAGGATATGACGAAAGTCCCCGTCCACTCGTAAATCCAACCTTCAACAAAATAAAAAAAATGTCAATATCTCAAAAAAGTGCGAGAAATAAAAGCCAAATCGACAGAAGATATGCGCATGTGTACCGTGTGCAATAGGAAATGACGATGAAGCTGAAACATTGTAACATGACACCAAACGCTATTGATACATCAATGCCAACATGTTATGCTTACACTTTAGACCCTATAAAACAACGGGCACTCTTCAAAAATATTGGGAGGGGGGGAGCTAAACGCTATTGAAAAAACAAACAAACAAACAAACAAACAAACACCCCAACAAACAAACAAACAAACAAACATATTAATATATTAAAAAACAAAAAGAATTCGAACCTGACACCAGTCCACCAAGCGCCCCTGCAACTCCAGTAAAGACTCCCTGCCAGCCTAGTATACTAACAAACCGGTCGTCTGTCGAGATGAACCGTAGCATCACATAAACAGCTTGGTACATCACCGCGTAACCAGCACCTAATAGTCCCGTAACGACTAACAGTCCGATGAACGATCTGATAAAGGCGTCCGCGACGAACAAAGCACATATCAGAGCTGCCCCGAAACACGCCCAGAATGTAATGGGCGGTTTCAGGCCGAGCTGTTGTACGAGGGGCGCCAGTACCTGACCAATAACGTCGCCAATCCCGAACGCAGTAGGCAGGAACGACGCCTGAGTGTCACTCAGACCTTGGAATTTTGCATGCGGCACCATGAACACCAGCCAAGCGCTGTATGCAAACGAGGCTGAGCACCTGCCGCAAGCAATCAAAGCAAACCTCACATCGGCAAGCACTTTGAAATCCATCGCCTCCACGAAGCGTTGGCAATACGTTTTTTTTCTCTTTTCTTGTGTGCGTCTTGTATGATTGGGAGCGTCACCTTCTTCCTGCGCGTTTTCTTCTTCATCGAGTACCGACACTTCTTGGTACTGATCAGTGTCTGAAGCTGAATTGGAAGATGGATCCCGTCGCACTAACAAGGCACACGCAACAAGATGAAACGAGATACCTCCTTGTAAAAGCATGGTTCCTCTCCAGCCATAGGTGTCGAGAAGAACCTGGGTTACGGGCCCATAAGCCATTATACCAAGGGGAACACCCATCGTTGACAGTCCAATAGCTAACGGATATTTCTCCTTGAAGTAGGAAGCCATTACAGCAAAACTGATGTACCAATTGAACGCAGCACCAACACCTGCAAACAAATTAGCCAACTTACCAATTAATAAAATCAAATCAAGACAATACAAACTGGAAAGAAACATATGCATTATAGCTATTTTTACTACTCTCTAAATTTCAAAGAATGCAACTATAGGTACCGGACCCGAAAGAGTCAATACGTTAGTAAGATTGAAATACTCTGAACAGAATGTCTGCAGTGGAAACTCGATCAATTCGATTAATAAATTTCACCTTAAAATCGTCTTGAACCGTACCTGGCTTCATGCAGTCGGATCATGCATGGAGCTATGTGTTTTATACAGTCAACCAAAAAAGAAAGTCCCCCCCAATACTTTTTTGTCTAACTCAAAAACTACTAGGCACATTTTGCTCAAACTACAAATGAATGAAATGACCAGTACAGAAACTCCTTTCCAGCCATACTCTTTGTTTGGCCCAAAGCAGTGAATATGTGTTTTTGTGTACAAGATTATGCAATTTATGACAAATGTTACCAAAAAGTTGCACTTTTTTTGTATGCGTGCAAGGTGAGTGTGAACCACAACTTGCACGTATACAAAAGTGCAACTGTTTTCGGTATCATTTGTGATACATGGCATAAATTCGTACACATTATCGCTGTTTTGGGCCAAATAGAGAGCGGCTTTGGAATTTCTGTACTGATTAGTTGTTATTTGATGAGCGAGATGTGCTCAGTAGTTTTTGAGTTAGACAAAAAAGTATTGGAAGGGGGAGGGACTTTCTTTTTGGGTTGAGTGTAGCTCCATGGTCGGATGGAGTGGATTTTCCCTCGAATGGAGTGACTTTTCACGTTTTAGATATGAGGGAGTATTATCTTATTTGCATGTTGGTCCGGACAAGGTTGGCAGCCATTTCCCTCTTTTTTTGTTCGTCCAGAGTCGGTCGAAAACTGTGTGTGTAGTTCGTCTGCGTGTGCATGTGACAGTGTGTGGAATCCAGAGAGTTACCGTCTTCCAATGGGGGCGCTGTTCAAACCGGACGATGTGCACACTATCGGACAATAGATGGCGCTTGTCATGGCGGCACAAATTGCAGACGGTCGCGCGAAATTCCAAAATGGGCACTCGTAAAGGTGACTCCAGTGGTAAAAAGGGCACTTGTTCTCAAGAAAAAGGGCACTTGTTTAAAAAGTGTTTTTGGGTAGTCACAAAGAAAGGCCTGTAACCTTTTCACGCATAGCTGAATATCAGTGAAACTTTTACGGACTGTGGTCTATACTCAGAAGGAATCATTGGCCGAAGAGAAACATTTGGTAACCTTTCCCGTTGTGTGGGAGACAAGAACGTATCCAAAGGGACATTTTTGACTCACCCTGTAGCGTATTAACATTAGCTATATTAAACATATATTTTATGTAGAATATACATATTAAAATCGATATTTTTACCTGATAGCCCAATAACGAAAACTGCCAACAGCGGAACTGAGTGTGATATCGACGCTAGAACCAAGCCCAGAGTACACATAACTCCACCCATGACGTTCATGGGACGTGCGCCTAGTAGACGAGACAGTGCTCCTACGACAGGTGCTATATAAGTGCAGAGAGTGGGAACAAATGAAATAGTTTGACCGACTTGAATGGGAAGTATTTACCCCCCCCCCACACACACAATAGTTTGTAATGATTGCCCTTTTCTATACAAATGCCAAGTGACCGGGGAAAAACTTGCTGCATTTCAGCACGCGAACTTTGTACCCCCCCCAACAAAAATAAAAATAAAAATAAAGAATGTCCTTGCTACGCCACTGCAACATGTTCATGTAGTTATGTTAAGATAGGGATTTAAGGTACCACTTCAGAATGACAGGTGCCAAGCTTGAAACTCACAAATCAAAGCATTGCAAGCCGTATTTTTGTCTGAAAATTCAAATTGTTAATCTAGAAACTTTCTGACCCGAGTAAGGCATTTTCCTCTTTCTTAAAAACGAGTCCGAAAGTCTCCTCACCGACACAATTCTGCAACATGCTATACAGGACTGCCACCCAGCCAACAAGCCACAGTTCACTGTCGAGGTCGTTGGTCATCGGTATGAGGAGTACACCTAGTGCCTTGAGCTGACCCATGATGACGAACGCATTGACGAACGCTGCGGCCACCATGAGCCATCCCCATCTATCCTGGTCGTAATTTACCGTCACGGGTTGCTGACGTCCCGCCGATACCATTTTTTTGGCAAAATCACAGCACGAACAAACAGACGATTGCGACTTGCTGTGATGCTATACAAAACGTGGATGTTGATACCCTTGTATTGTAGGCCTGGCCTATACTCATCGGTTCACCTTCGTCGATGTTCCTGCGCACCCAAAATATATCTTTATTGTATCAATTGTCAACTGATTGCCACCTTTTTTACTTTGATAAACTCCTCACAACAAAAGTGTTAATTATGAGTTTGGACACCATGTCGAAGCGCCAGATCACCTTTACTACCGCCAAGGAGATTATGTTTTCATCGGACTTGGTTAGTTTGTTGGTTGGTTTGTCTGTTAACAATTTTACTCAAAAAAGTTATGGACGGATTTGCATTAAATTTGTTTCAGGGGTGGTCCTTGGTACAAGTACAAATCGATTAGGTTTTGGATGTGATCCAGATCTGGATCTGGATCCAGGATTTTTAAAAATGATTCTTCACAATTTATGCGAGTATTTCTTTTGGGTGTATTGACAATAAGGCGGGGAATTGTTTAGCCTTGGCGGAGGTTTGCGCTCTCTGAGTGCTTTCTAGTTTACTACTTGATTCAGCTTGGGGAGTCACGTATAGATCCAAACTCACATACTTTCTACACAAATGAAACCATTGTTATGACGTCACACTAAAAGTGTGGAATCATATCTACTAATCTTTAGTAAAGTCTGGATTCAGACCTACAAATCCACACTATAAACAATACACTTTAAAACAATGTACAACATGTTTGACCAGGGAAACATTATCACCACGGTTTAACTCATTTTAAATACAGCATTCAAAACAACAATTAAAGACATTTTGGGAATTGGAGACCCGGCCTATTCTCCTCTATTGTTCAACGTCCCCTTTTGAATGCAGAAACAAACTCACGCACTTAGCATTATTGGGTTTATGGGGTACCAGGTTTGTTTCCATATAGGAGTGTGTTTTGTTTATCTCTGCGTGCGCGGTCCACGGCCCCTTGAGCAGAAACATACAGTCCAGATAACGATTTGTTTTAGCGCCGAGATGCGAGATGCGACGTATGGGGAGTTTTAATTTGCAGTTCAACCAATAAAACGGTAAGAGGCACTGGATTTTAAGGAGTCCAAATTTCATGTGGCACTGAAAAAGTGTTTAAGGCCAGCTAGCCATGTCTTTATCATCCGTTTAAGACCGGCCATGTAACGGCCTCTCGACCAATACGAATGGGCAAACTGTCTTGGGTATTTATGAATGATCGTTTACGTCGTTTCGTATGAATAAAAAGGAGTAAATGCTTCAGATTTCAAATATGCACTTGCGTTGGAGCAACCTTGAAATATTATAAAGTAAATAATTCTGTCCAAACAAATTACTGCATTTATTAATGTTAATTGTGAAAACTTAATATTAACAAAGTTATAAGGACCAATAATACCAAACGGTAGTTCGTGTCGTATGAATAAAAACTGGCATTTGCATTTACTACCATTTTTTTTTTAGCATATACTCCCATCTGCATGAATACAAATTTAGCAAACGCTTTTACTGAAAACCATTTGCTCTTGAGTAAATGGCCTGCACAATGTAAAGGTTTACACGTTTATAAGTTTGCAGAAAATATAGTTATCGTAAACCGAAACGGAAAGCAGCACGTGTGTGCGCAGCGCGTATACTCGGTGCGCCTTTCTAGCTTCGCGCGCGATAACTCACGTGCTGGAGGACAGATACATTTAGCTGTAACGAATGACAAAAGTGGAGATGTTGCGTAGCACTGTGGAGCATAATTATGACATAAAGTTAAAACTAAAACAGTGCTCACAGGAAAATAACTCCCTGTGCTCTTTGATGCTTGCTTCCCACAGTGCACGATACCACACTTTACTGAACCGGTGTAGCATGAATTTAGGTTTTAAGAAATACGGACTCATTGGTGGTACTGCGCATGCCGTGCATAGATAAATAGAAGAGGGACCGGTCACGTGAGAGGGTTTAACCAATAAAACGGAAAAAGAGTCATCCGAACGAACATCTTTACATGCCCCTTCAACACATCTGGCAGATCATTTAATGTAGATGACGAACAAAATTGGGCCCAACCCACGGAATGCCGCTTATTAAAGACGTCTGCCCATGAAGACTTGGTCCTATTGACTACCATACACTACCTCCTCTCTGCAAGGAAACTCTGGCTCCATTTCAGCAGGTTTCCACTTAAGCAATGGGCTCTGATCTTCTTAAGGATATGTGTGGGTCGGAGTCAAAAGCCTTGCCGAAATCAAGATAGGCCACATCAACACCACCTTCCTCGTCAATCATACCTCACCACTCATTCAAAATGTCAATCAGTTGCGTCACACAGGATCTTCCAGAGCGGAATCCGTGCTGTTGTTCACTTGGAAGGTTAACCATGAACTTCATGATTTGGTCTCGCAAAATGGACTCCACCAACTTACATACAATCGATGTGAGGCTCACTGGTCTGTAATTGCCCGGGGAAGTAGATTTGCCTTTTTTTTGTAAATTGCAGTAACATTAAAGCAATCTTCCTGGTATCAGGGACCTTTCCTTCCTGCAGTGATTTATTGAAAATAGCAGTCAGCGGCATTTGCGGTAAGCCAACTTCGTTCTGAAAATCAGTGCAAGCTATCAGCGTGTGGGCATCGATCACTGGCAATATCTAAACTAGACTCCACGGCAGTGTATAGTACGGGCGGGCGAAACCCAAATCCGTCATACCCACTAAGCCCACCTGTGCGGAAAAAAACATGCACCCATAATGTACAGAAAATGAGCAAATTACACGAATTGACTTAATGTCTTACATGTAAAACTATTTACCTGAAACGAAACGATAGGATGATTTTTGTTCTTCATTCCGTGAATATTCTCATATGAACAACTTGCGCGCATCTGCTCACGGAGCTCCGTGATCCTACGCTCAGTGCATGAAAATGACACGAAAACAGAGCCCTTACAAACTTTCGTCAGTAACAAAAAGTACGTCAATGTTTCTCACCAACTCACTACACATTTCAAAGTTCAGAGTATTACCTGTATTAGGCCAAAAAAAAAAATAAGTCGGTCTCTGGTCAGCGCGCGCGTCGATTTTAATCATGCGCGTCGATCTTTTTTTTTTCCAAAATGTTCCGCGGTAGCTCCAACAGCGCCCTCTATTTCCGCACCTCCTCAATTTTTGTTACCAAAGAGCACCAAGGAATGGGAAATTGCACCAAGGCAAATGATCGAAAGCACCAAGGCAAATTATGGAGGACACCAATGTACATGAGGACACCAAAAAAAGCAAAATAGTACCTACCTTGTTTGTACAATCCAAGCTTGAAGAAAAAAAAAAAAAGCAAAAAAAAAAAAAAAAAAAAACCCGTGGCCGCGTCAATTCCGGAACTTTGGTCTGACCAGAGACCGAATATTTTTTTTTTGGCCTTAGAGTATGCTTGTATTGTGCAATAATACTACATGCATAATCCGTACCATTGTGTGAAATGGTCCAGTCCACTTGACTTGTTATGCCATGAATGCGTGCGCTGTTTACACAAGGTCAGGGCCCCACGCTGTAAAGTCCGTCGTTTACTGCACAAATTCAGGGCAAAGTTGTTCATAATATATGCTTCGATTTGCCTTTTTTAATGGCACCGTGTTGTCTGCAGCTCCTCGGGTCAAGGCTGATAAAATAATTAAACAAAAAATAGACACCAACTTTTTTATTAGAGCATATTACGTGTATACAGGTTTTCCATTTTGTTTCTTTTAAAATGTGGTCCCAATATTTTCCGTCCGTAAAATATTTTAACAAAGTTGCATTGAGGTGACGCTTAAAAAGAGGCGGCTTTTGTTGTTGTAAAAGGCATCGACAAGCTTGGCGCGTATCGCGTTTACACAGATCGAGCGCGAGACCACAGCCTTTGTTTGCTGTGTCTAGGTTTTTTTTTTATCCATGTCTATGAGCCTGCTCACATATCATAGACCATGACTCTGATTTTCGCCATATGGTACATAGGCTATACGTACACCGGGTACGAAGCGCGGCAACGAACTACAGTGCAATGTACATGTAGTTTTAAAAAATATGAAAACAAAGTGTTAAAACAGATGTAGTGTGCAATTTAGGCTCTACGAAATACGGATCGGTTTGTTGTATTGCGCATGAGTAGTGGAGGGGGACTGTTGAGCACAAGTTGACCTTTTCTAAAGAAATATGTAAAGGTCACATAAATATGTAAATATGTAAATATGTAGATTTAAATATGAATGAATGAAGTTATGAAATTCCGGGCACAGTTTGACCTAATGAATGGATGGGATGAATAGGGAATAGGTGTGGGTATAAGGAACCGGGTACAGTTTGACCAATTCTATGGGAAAGATTGCATAAGGTATGGAAAAATATTACAATTTTAGGAGAATATGTATCTACATGTAATTGCAACTAAGTGGTGCAATGTGAACGAACAGCTGGGTCGGATCTTTAATCCCCCAACAATAGACGGGAGAGGGCTCGTGGCAAGTCAGCGCATTAGTATTGTTACGAAGTTAATCCGATCGATACAAAAAGTAATTGGATTTCCGAATGCTCGAAAGCAGAAAGCAGTGATAGATGGCAAAAATGAATTTTGCGTTGATCAGACTGAAACGAGTACGATTGTCTATTTGAAGAATTATTTTAAAGTCATTTTTATTGGGTTTATGGGTATTGTGCACGTTGCGTTTTCAAAGTTATAAACAAACACTCACCGCAGCATACTTGCAGGGTACAGCCTGTGTCGGCCAGGGGGGTATATGATAAATCCACGATCCATAATCCATGCGTCTGTACGGAGACCGGTGGTCGATCACCCCTCGATGATCGTACCGATCATGGAGCAAATAAATAACTCCGTCCGTGCGCCTATATTCCTCTTGTTAATCGATACAATACCAATGGCACTCTTCTACACTGCCACCAGAATCATCCAAGTAAAAATATATGGCTGTGCGCGGTGATCGTAGAAAAGGGAAGGTTTTGGCATTAGCCAGAGCAAGTGCTAGTACACATGCACACTACTGTACACACGCCGTCCGATCAGATAGCGCTCAAGTTTTCTTAATCCGTGACAGCTAAATTATCGATTAGGCTCT